TTATCACAGGCATATAAAATAGGATCCTAATACGAATCAGCAACAATTAGAATAATACTGTTCTCCAACTAAACTCATTCAATGGCCAGATACAATTTAAAACATGAGGAATTTGAAATTAGGGACGTTTCTCAATCAACTAAGATTATAATTGATACTTTAGACTCAGTTCCTACTAAAGTTTATTTTAAGCTAAGGGATAAGTTTAGCTTCTTAGTTGGAGCTGGATTGTCTATAAGTAATATAGAATTTGACGCAACCGATTCAATTCTTGATGTAAGAGAGGGTAACATCGACTTGTCGTTCATTGATATGAATGACTATAAGTGTTTAAAGTCTTTTGTATATAGCTGCTGTCAATCAACTTTATCATAAATTTCCTAGAGTTACATCATCAATGGACCTTAAATTTGTTAGGTTAATTCTCTACCGTAAGCTAAATAAATTTAAACTAATTTAGATCACTAAATTGCAAAGAAAGTCAATAATTTGGGTCATTTATTTAATTTGGTATTAGTTCTCAGTCAATGATGGAATCTTCTCCTATTTTAAAATTAGAGGTAAATTATAGTATATACTTTGACAATGGTTTAGAATGTAAAACTCACAAATTTCTTGTTTAACTTCAACTCATTGATTGAAATGAATAATTTTGGAGGGTAAGTCGAGATAGCTAACTCATAATTTGAGAATATAAATTCATGTGGAAGTATAATTTCTTATCCCAAATAAGAAAGCTAAGAAGATTTCTAGGATAATTAATCAAACGTAAACTCTTATTTAGAAAGAAGTTTCAATTAAATTGTATAGAAAAGCTTCTAATATAATTTTTTATCCAGATAGACTCTGAATCATCTAAGATCATCATACTGCTAACCTAATTGCAACAGAATCAGCATTTCTAACTCAGAATTTAACTATTTAGTTGGAATTAATGGTATTGTTAGATATAATCTAAATGAGAGTATCTTTATTGAAATAAATAGCTCAAGATTCAATGGAATATATAGTTAATAATCTGGACTAATAAGCTAGTTTAATGGATGGTCTAGTATATCTATTAGTGATATTTAAGTTAATAATTTAATGAACTAAGCTTCAGGCGGTATCATTTATCTTGGTGTGAATGTCACATCCTGTTCATTGATTATTTAGAATTCTGTTTTTGGTAACTTTACTGCAGTAAATGGATCGTTCGCTTATATCGATATTAACAATAATTTATAGTAAAATATAGATATCCTTCTCATTAAAAATGATTTTAAATTTGAAACAATAAATGAGATTTAATCGATATTTCCAAATATTTTAGGAGCTTTATCATAGACAAATTTTATTTAAAGCTAATCTTATTTTGCTGATATAACGATCTAACAATGCAATTTTACCTTTTAAGATTAATAAATCTCAAATATACTCTTTTACCTTAAAAGCTTTTAATCGTTAAATCTAAAGTAATTAATATTTGAAAATACCTATCAAAACTAACTAATCTATACAGATAATGGAGGAAGTATAGTTTTAGATTCAGTATAACTGAACTGTAAAAGTACATCATTTGATTCTTCTTACTTATCTCTTTAGTATATTTAAGAAGCCTTGATTGATATATTTGACATTAATTTTGGTATTATCAAATCAACTCCATTTTAAATATAAAATGTCAATAGTATTTCAATAAGCCAAAGTGAATTCTAGAATTGTTAAAATCGATCAGAAGGAGGGATATTCAATATTGTAAATTCGTCACTCAATGATTAAGGATCATAGTTCTAATTCAATCAAGCAATTAATGGAGGTGCTATTTACTGTCATAATTGTACAGCTCTATTCAATAGAACTGCTTTTGCTAATAATTTTGCACTTAATGGTGGAAGTGTTTCAGTAAGTGGCAAAACATAAATTG